GTGCAGACGATAATAAACTCAACTTACTAGCCTAAAATCTCCGTAGCGTGTTGCCAGGCGGCAGAAAGCATATATATAATTATAATAAAGTTACAATAAATTAAGTTAATATATAATTATATGTACAGTACCTAATTTATATATAATACTGTACAGACGATAGCAAACTCAATTTAGTTGCTCCGTAGCGTGGCGCAGGGTCGGAGGAAAGTAGTTCGGCTGCTCATCCACTATTGGTCCAGATTCTATCAATCTTGTCGCGAAACGACGTTATAGGAGGTATTTTATATGAATGTTGCTACAATCTTTTCGCTACATTATAGGAATTGTCGTTATAGGAACGCACGTTATAGGGGGGTCGACTGTAATGTACTGTACATGTACTATAATAAATTAATGACATTATTTTGATTTAGCAAGATCAGATAGCTTTTCCTTTTTTCATATTTGATTGATGATGATTTATTGATTTATAAGTACATAAATGAAATTTTAGTAACATGAGTATTCAAAGAATATGAAAACAGTTTAGACTGGAAATTAAAGTTTTATGAATAGTTTGATGTCTACTATACATCACAATTTAATTATTCAATCAATCTATACACAACCTTGTGCAGCAGCAAAAAAAAAGTTTCTTAAACTGAAAAAAAAAAAAAAAAAACATTTTTCAGTCATTAATTACAACCAAAAACTATTTAGCTACATAGTTTAAAACAATAATTTATTAAAATTGTATATAACTATTTCACAATAAAGAAAATATACTAAAAATTATATGCAATTTTTAAAATGATTTGAGAGACAGACTTGTTCCTATTTCAATAATTATTTAGCATATGATCGAAAGCAGTAGTATTTTTTCCCAGTTTAATATTTTTTCTTTTTTTTGTTTGCACAAGGTTGAGTGTAGATGATTGAGTAATTTACAATTGAAGCTGTTACTTTATAAATTATATCAAGTTTAAAGTTAGGTCAACAGATCTAGACTTAACATTAAAATTATATATATTAAAATTAACATTAAATTTTAATATATATATATATATTAAATTATATTAGTAGGTTATATATATAACCTACTAATATAATTTAGGTTATATATATAACCTACTAGAATTTAAAACCAAATAATTTAATAAAATTTGATTTAAATATTTACTTTGATTATTTTGTATTAACAATTTTTTTTTAATTGCTTAAGATTGAAATTTGTTTTCAAATAGCTGCTCTGACTTGTTTGTTATCTGATGCTCTTTTTTTTAATTGCAAAAGCTATTTGGATACATAAAGAAACATGACCCATTCAAGGTTGCATTTTATATTTCATGTGAGTTGTGAGTTTTTCTAATTTATTGCTACAGCTAATCTAGATACATTTAATATGAACTGAACATTTATAAAAATAAAGTATAACAAAAATAAAAAAATATATATATAAATTGAAATTTTGATTAATGATACAATTTAAAATAATTTTTTTAAATACAGTTATACAGTACAATCAGTATTTTGTTAATTTTGTATTATATTTTATTTGAGAAAAATGAATAAAAAAGTAAAACTACAAAAATAAATTATACAAAAAGTTTTTTATAAAATTATTTATTTTTCTTTTGAGATAAGTAATCTCAATAGTAAAGATTTTTTTTTTGTCCTCATTTAATTATGTATAAGTTTTGAATAAGAATCATAAATATATTTTTAATTTATGATTTTCATTTTAAAAAGCTTATTTTTCTTGTGTGAAAAAAGATTTAGTACAATAAATAAATTTATAAGCATTTATTAAAAATTTTTAAATTACAATATTTATAAAATAATTATGCTTTTTACTTGGTAATCAGTTACATTAACATGAATATATACAAAAGTTCAGTAATGCAAAATAAATTAAAATTTTAAAAAAATATTCTTTATTACATTTTTTGTTTTTAATGTTTAAATTAGAAAATTATATGTATATAATATAAAATAAACTAAAAACAACATTTACATACAGGAATATACTCAGTATATATAAATATAATAAAACTTCAGCAATGTCAATTCCACACACTAAAAGTTGTTTCAGTGTGTGGAATTGACAAGTAACATATGATCAGGCAAAGTAATCACCATGACTGTTCACATGTGAAAGAATTATGAAGAATGATTTGTGACTCCTTTTTATACCTGAAATTTATTTAAAAACACCACACATATTGTTTTATAAACCTATATGATAGTTTATTTGAAGAAACCAACATTTCAACTACATTATATGCTTCCTTCAAAGAAACTAAAAGTTTATTAAAAAATACAAGAAAAAGGAAGCAAGTGAAGAATACAAAACATACATAATATACATATTAAGGTGACAACAGCACTAAACTTTGCTCTGGCAGCTAAATTTTAAAGTAAAATTTTTTCTTGAAAATCAAAACTGCATACTCATGGCAAGTGTCAACCAAATTTGGTTGAGATTTGCTCTGTATATACAGAGAGCTCTCAACACTTTATAAATATGATCTCCCTGTATTAAGATTTAATAATAGAGTATTGAAACAAAGGGACATGTACTGTACAGTTGGAACACTGTCAATCGGGTGATGGTGAGTGGGTGACAGTCAACTGGGCACCGTACATCTGGGTGACAAAATAAGAGATCAATAATAGACAAAATTTTTTATTGTTTTATTTATTAAAATAACCATTATTTTCTATTGATGTACTTTCTGGTAAATTTAAATGACATTTTTTAAGAAATGAGTTAAAAGAACAATTTTGTAATTAACAAGCATATTTATACATGTTACATACATTATTTATTTATTTATATTTACTAGTAAATAGAAAAGTCTTGAAGGACAGTTGATATCTTTGATTCTCCAAAATAAACAAATATAGGTATATAAAAACAAAGACAATAATTACTTAATTATTTAATTAAAATTAAAAATGCATTACATTAAATACAATTTATGTTAAAACAAAAAAGTTTGAAAGAATTTGTTTTTGAAGAACTGCTTTTCTTTGATGTGCTTTGACTCAACACTTCTGAATAATTAATGATACTACAATATGTTGTTCCAAAACATTTCCTAAGTTGGAAATAACTTGTAACTCATATAACCTATAACTTGTACACAAGTGTCTTAACTATACATATATATAACTAATATTTACAAAAAATAAATTAAAAAAATATCTGCCAGATCACATGCTTGCTAAGCATGCAAAAAATTTTTAAGTTTCTGTTGCCCAAATGATGATCATCCAATTAACCATTGCCCAGTTGACTGTTGTCCAGTTGTCGTGTACCCATACAGTTAATGAAAGTTGTTTCAGTAGAGTTCATTCAAGTACTATACAGAAGAGTTGTTTGGTACCCAGAGTATTAATTTTAATACTATATTTTAACAGAAGAATCAGAAAAAAGTTTTAAATAGAAGTTGCTAAATATGAAGAACAACTGTCAAAAATGTGTTAATAATTAAACTGGCTTTTACATTAGACTGTTGGTATTTTTCGTAATTGAGTGCTGCAAATGACATATCAGTGATATAGACCAATTGTCACTGATTTACATAGTTATAATTTTACAAAATACAATCAGATTTTGTATAAAAATTATTGAACAAATATATAATTCTTTTTTCTTACTAAATTTAGGAGGCAAATTTAATTTGTTCAGTGTAAATGAAGATTTAGTTTATTTGAACGTAATCTGTCAGAAACATTTCAGCAAATTATTCCAAAACTATAGCAAGTAAGCTCAATTCTATTTAAAGTGCTTTAAACAATTTGTTGAGATTTCTGTCATCCACTTAAATGGAGATAGATGTCACTTTAAGACACTCCTATCTTGACCACTTATGAGGTGGCCACCAAGATGGAGTTTGATTTATTTTAATTTTACAGATGGTTATGTATAATTGAGATGGCTACAAAGCAAGATTTTACTGTATTTTAGCATGTGTGTTTATATATTTGTTTACAATAAAGAAATGTATTTTTTAAATGAAAAACTTTAAAAATATAATGATTACAGACATGTACTAAAATTTTTAATTATATTCTTAATACATTCAAAAATGAATTATTTCTAGTTACCCTTTATATTGTTTGCTGTATATAAAATTTTCCTAATGGTCAAAGTTTAAACTTTTTTATTTACTTTTGATATTGACTATCAAAATGAAAGTTTGTAATACATATCTATTACTCAAGTTAAACAAATTTAATCATAAAATTTCCTAAAAGTAAGGTTCTGTTAAGCTATTTTTTACATAAATTAAGCTATACAGAAGTACTGTACAAGTTTATGTAAAATATATGTAGGCCTATGTTTAGCCATTGAGTTTATATATATATATATTATTTATTATTATGTTTTTAATACTTTATAAATATATATAAAGTTATAATGTAGCATAATTTTATTTTAAATAAGTTGTAAAATATCTATCAGTTTTTTATTGGAAAAAAATAAAATTAGATAATTGCTAAAATTAACAACCTGTACATTTCCTGTTAATATCGGTATTTTTATTGGAAAATATATGAGTTTTCCTTGAAATTATCAGGAAGAAGAGAAATATTTTTTATTTAATCCAGATAAATAAGTTTTAATGCTGAATAATTGATATATATCATCGTTCTATGTTTAGCTTAGTATTAGTAATATGCTTTAATTAAGATGATGCTCAAAATATAATTTTCTTTTTCAGATATTTCATTTTTTTCAAATTTTTTATTTATTCTTTTGAACGTTGAGTTTCTAGAAAAAACAGTAAGTATAAGTTTTTGTTAAATCTCTGTAGAAAAATATTGAGTTTTAATATTTATTAAAATGAATTTTATATAACTTTTACATTAGCAATGAAATAATAATATATTTAAAAAATTATCTATTAATTTTTTTCATTAAAAATTAGATTTTATATTTATTTGCATTGTTGCTCTGTTATTAAATTTCTTAGAACTAGTATCTCTAGAATATTTTAAATTTGTTTTGCTTTCACAATTTTTGCATTACATTATTGATTTAAAAAAAAAAATATTGTATAATATAGATAACTGTCAGTTTGAATATAATTATAAATGAAAAAATATTTTCAATTCTATTGAAGCAATTAAGTTTTAGCTTGTTTTTATAAGCAAAATTTGTTTATATTCAAGGAAGTTATTTATATTTAATTCAATAGAATTAAAAATTTGTTAATAGATTTATGGTAAGTAAACTGAAAACATTCATGCATGATTGAAATTTGAAAATTTGTTGATTTTGTAATAAAATTAATAATATAAACTTTTTATTAAAATAAAAATTTGACTTACAATTTAATTCAGTTTTTAACTTAAAAAAGAAATATAGAATTTATTTTCTGAATATTTGAGAATATTTAAATATTTTCTTTAAAATGGTTTATTATAAAAAAGATTAAAATGAAAAGCCTTAAATAGTATGAAATACTAATGTATGAAGATGATTCAGAATAATCATTAATTATTTTAGTTGTCTTATCACATTAATTCGTAGAAAGAAAAATATAATTATTTTATCATCATTGCTGTTTTCCTTCTGTTACTTGTGTTTTCAGTTCAGTTTGAATGCAATAAATTATTTTTGTTCTTTGCAAAATATGATTGATATATGGGAAATATAACTTAATAGAGGTGAAAATTATTTTTATGTAAGTTAATCGTAAATACAAATCTGATACAGGCAAGTGTAGTGTTTTTTAATAATAATAAAACTATCTCACTAGATCAAGATTTAAATTTTGAAATAAAGTATTAAGTTAATAGATTTCTTAATGACTTGATAAGTTTATAATTGTTTCTCTTCTTCTTTATCTGGCTGAAGATGATCCATTAACAGCATTCCTGTCTGTGCTGGTCACTGTACTGCTTCTTCTCTAACAGTCGATTCAATATTTCTTTTTTGAGATTTGTCTTTTTTATTTTTTGTTTTTAGTTATCTTAAGTAAATTTAAATAAATTATAATTTTAACTTATACTTAACTTACAATCTTAGGAATATAATCAGAAATTTCATTTTTCTTATTAAACCTTGATAAAATTGCTCTTTTGTTCAGCTAAAGTTGTCTATCAGAACTGATAATCTACAAAAGATGAATGGTGATAAGGACTCATAAACAATGGCTATTTAAATTATTGAGTTAATGATTTCAAAATTAACTAATGGTAATTCTGACACATTCGATTACATGAAAAACTTCCCTAAATTTGCTGTAAATGCACTCTTCTAAAAAAAATCCCACATTAAATTAAATTAGTTAGCATTGTATTTAATTTAAATGTTTAAAAATTTAAAGTAAAACATAATATTTAATTGATTTTGATGGTTTTCTTTAAAAAATTTCAAGTGTTGGCCTGAAAAAAAAAATGAATATATACCGATACCAAATAAAAATATTTTATTTTTCATATATCTAAAATATAAAGTTTAAAATTCTTTAATGGAGTAAATTTATGAATTAACAATATCAATAAACCTTTTTGATATATTGTAAATCTACTCCATTAAAGCATTTCAATATACTGTATATATAAGTTAAAATTAAATTTTGGAGTTTTATTTATTTGTATTTCATATACTTCTAAAATTTCCCTATCTTATAGAATATAATAATTTACATTTATGATCTTAATAATTTTCTTTAATTTTGCTCTAATATTCTTGAACCTTTCTTTTTAACTTCTCTGTATTTTATAAATTTTCAATATTTCTTAAAGTAAGAAAGTTTTTTAATTGTTCTAAGTTCCTTTTTTAATAATTTTTAGGTATGGCAATACTGGAATATGAATATTCTGCAGAATAGGAATTTTAATAATTTTAAGTATCAAACAGCCATTTGTGTTCCTTTATTGGGCTTTTAAGGATAAATAATTACTAAGTAATTTGGAAGGAGGTTGCTGGTTAGTCTACTATCTCTTGTTAAATTTAATAATTATAAATAAATAAATTTAACTTTAGAATATTCTGGAAGAAAAGATTGGCCTTGAGTGGGACTTGAACCCACAACTCCTGCTTACCATGAGAAACTTTATCATACAGGCGTTAAATTACAAACAAATGTCGCTAGACCGACAAGTGCTTTCGACAATAATTATTTTCGTCTTCATCAGGCCGTTAAAAACGGTTAAATTCCTTTTTTGACTACAAACAACTGACTGTTCCAAATGTATTAACGTTTTGGAATGGAAGCAACAGTAGAACATAACACAAATTTTTAAATAAAAACACGCATGGTTATAATGCACATGTGCTATGTGCCTTCAAATTATGGAGCTAGATACGTTGTTTTAGATAGTTATACAAATTGATCCACAAAGGGGAATTGCACCGTTAATTAGAAGGGCCTTTCTTTTATCTTCCAATCAAGCTGCTATCAATACTGAACTTAATATTATTCGCTGTGCAGTAAATGAGGCGGGCTACAGTAATGCCAAATTTATCTACATCTTAAATAAAGTAAAAAGATCACTTTTTCCCGCTACCACACTGAAAGAATCCACAATAGTCCTTCCCGCGATACCATTTTGTGGTCATGTCACTCTTTGTATTTTTGGGCGACATTTTTTTCTACCGGTTTCCCCACAACCAAACCTTAGGAGGTTGCTGTCCAATGACAGGGATCCTACTTCCATTCTTGAAAGATCGGGGGTTTATTCTATCCCATTGGAAAATATGTTGGGTGGGTGCACCCATTATATTGGTGCAACAACTAGAATGTTGTCTTGTTGTATTTCAGAACATCAGTATTTTATCAGGGAAGGCAAGAATGAAACTGATCTTGCTAGAATGGTGTTACAACACCAACATACTCCGTTGTGGGACGAGGTGGCCATAATAAGACATTGCAACAACAGAAATATAGTATATGTTTGGGAGGCCCTCCTTACCAACATATTAAATCCCTGCAACACCCCCACACTTGATTTGCCTCCTTTGTGGATCAATTTGTATAACTATCTAAAACAACGTATCTAGCTCCATAATTTGGAGGCACATAGCACACCCGCATTATAACCATGCGTGTTTTTATTTAAAAATTTGTGTTATGTTCTACTGTTGCTTCCATTCCAAAACGTTAATACATTTGGAACGGTCAGTTGTTTGTAGTCAAAAAAGGAATTTAACCGTTTTTAACGACCTGATGAAGACGAAAATAATTATCATCGAAAGCGCTTGTCGGTCTAGTGACATTTGTTTGTAATTTAACGTCTGTATGATAAAAGTTTCTCATATTAAATGGTCAGCTTGCTGTCCACTTCTGTATTATAGATAACTGCTTACCTCCTGCTAAATTCCTTAGTAATTAATTAGCCTTAATAGCCCAATAAAGGAATCCAGCTTTTTCATATTTGAAATAATTGTTGGGTTGCATTTGTAATACTGTATTTAAAAGATATTTTGTATAAAAAGCTGAATATGTTGTTTTATTTTGTTTTTTTCCTGTTGGTCTCAGTTATTATTAGTTATTGCCAGAATGTATCCACCTAATTATTGCTGAAATATAAATAAAATAAATATAAAAATATTTTCAAATTCTTAGTGACAAGCTATGTAAATGGCTGTAATTAGACAGAAAACTTATGAGAACTTTAAAAGTGAATACCGATCTATTTATTTTTCTGTTTCTGTTATTCTCACTGTGGCAGAAATTTCTTTCTGTATTTTGCTTTTGGCTCTGCTTCTCTATGCATAAAATTCTAAGTATATTTTTATTATATACTTTCATGTATTTTTAACACAGTATTTGTAGACTATTATTTGTATCATTGTATCATTTAGACTTTTTTTAAATCCATTTTAAATATTGTTTAAGATTGTTATATCAATATTTTCATATAGTAAAAGTAAAGTATTTTTTCCTTAATCATCTACAGTTCTCTCCTTTTTTTGAAATAGTTTGCTCCAAAAAAAGCAGAACTATGTGTGTAAAAAGTGTTTACTTAAATCATTAAAATTCAGTTTAAATTTGGTTTATATAAAAAAAGTTTTTTTTCTGATTATTAGTACAGGCATACCTCGACTTACGTCGGTTCCGAGTTACGTCGTTCCCGATTATACATCGCTTGTTAAAAAAGTATATGGAAAAATAAAAATCAAGTTTAAGTCATTTTATTCGACTTTACGTCTGTCCGCCACAAATATTGAAGTCGTAATATCACTAGATAAACGTTTAAAGCACATAAAATCATATTAAAATATATACAAGTATGTACTGTATTTACAGTACACGCATTCGTAAATTTAGATTACTTTTTTTGTACTATATTAAAAACTAAAATTTATTTGTTTGTAAGCTTAAAATAGATTTTTATTAACCATATATTATTAAAAATGCATTAATAAATAAAATACAGAACCGGGAATGGTAATTTACGGTTTAGCCTAGTGATAAGTAGATTCGGAGACAAGTAAATTCGACTTACGTCGTTTTCCTGGAACCAATTACCGACGTAAGGCGAGGTATACCTGTATTAATTTTTATCAAAAAAACCTCTTTATGTAGAATTTATGATAAACATGTAGTTTTTCTTGGTATTTTTACAGTTTTTTTTATTGAGTCAGTCTTTTATGTAATTTTCTTGCAATAAAAGCATTTTTTACAAATGCAAAGATTTTGTGTAAAGACTCATGCTTTTCATAATAAATTTAGCAATATTTACTACAATTTACATTAGATAATGAACAAAGCATTAAAATTAAACAAACTTTAACAATCTGATTATTATGGTAGAAAGAAAAAAAGATAC